TTATCCCCGGTTCCTGTTCAATCCCCTCGCTCCCTCCCGGCCCGCCCCGCCCCTCCCTCCTCTCCTCTCCCCTCCCCTCCCCTCCCCTCCCACACCCCCACGACCTCCACCCCCCGCCATCCCGGTCGCCTCTCGTCCATGGCGGGCGCGCCCTACTCCTCCCCGGACGACTGGACCATCTTCCACCTCGCTTCCGACCACAACGAGACCTACTCGCTCAAAAACTCGCGCCACAAGGGCTCATCCACGCTGTTCGACGACCCAGCCCCGAGCCCGTTCAAGCCGCGCGTCCTCCCGCGACCGCGCGAGCCCGCCCTGCTCGGAGCCGCGCCCTCCCCCTCCTCGTCCTCCTCCTCGTCTTCCTCCTCCTCCTCATCCTCCAAGCTGCCGAACGGAAAGGCCCAGCGCAAGAGCTCCAAGAGCCGCGCCGCCCACAAGGATGTCGCCAGATCGAACACCTCCCGCTCCGACAGGCGGTAATACCCCCCGGGTGTCACACCACCGTGTTCACCCCCGCACGTCGTCCGCCTCGCCACCCTGCCCGATTGACTTGCCGCCGGCCACCCCGTCGTCCCACTGATTTCCTTCTCTTACTTGGGCAAACGCCGCTTGCTCTTTCGTCCCGTGCCCCTCTGGCCCTTGCTGAGCCCGCCTGGCCACGCGCTCACGCCCTCGTCCCCGCCTTCGCGCAGAACCGGCACGCGGTGGAACCGTGAGGTCGCCGCACGTGCCCATTTCTGCCTGTCGTGCCTACCGTGTGCCGCTTCGTGTGGTGCACAGGATCGGAATAGCTTGCTTGTGTAAATTCTCTTGCCGCACTCTCGTACAATGCCTTTCCCTGCCGTGTCCTTTCGGCGTGCTGCAACGTATGTCCAACGTTGCGAATCCCCTCGCTACACGTGTGAACCTTTTCCACTCGTGCCACGCCCTTGCTCCGGTCCCCGCATCCCTCTTCTTGTAGATACATTTTTGTGCGAGCCCAGTCGGCGTCGTTACATGTGGAACGCGTCATCCGATTGCATCTCAAAAAACCCTTTCGCCACTCCCACCACCACTCACGCGCTGTCGTTCGCAACCTCGTGACCGATCGCTCTATTCTTGGCACCTTCCCTCGTCATCCACGTCTGCCCGCCCTCATCAACTGTGTTCCTTGCACAAGCACCAAATCTACGCAAAAACCCGCGTCCATCACCCGCACCCATATTATTCTTCTTGAATCCACTGAATACCCATTGTCTCACACTCATCCTGCATGGGGAAGCGATACTCGATTAAAGAAAAGTAATCGATACTCGATTAAACAAAAGTAATCGATTAAAAAAAAAGTCAACAAGGTCGTTTTACATGAGAAAAACAAGTTGAGCAGCCCATGCTACGACCGCGGCAATCGCGCGACGTCCCCCTCAACCTTCGCTGTGTCCAGGTATCGGTTTGCAGCGTCCGCGGCCCGATCCGCGCAGCGAGCGGCGGCGGCCCGGTCGTCCTTCCTAGCGGCGGCGGCGATGCCGCGGACGTCTTCGCCAAGCTCGTCCACCAGCTCTCCGAGCAGCCGCTCGGTCGCCCCGATCCGGTTGCCCTCGGAGAAGTACATCGACGCGAACAGCTGCATCGCCGTCTGCAGGTCGGCCGCGTCGTTCTCCACGAACGACAGCGCGTCCGGAGACCAGTTGCCGCTCGACGCCAGCGTCGCTACCAACGCCCCCAGCGCCGCCACCCCGCGCGAGATCCGCGGCAGGTACCGCCGCTTCGCCGTCAGCTTCGTCGAGAACTTGCCCGTGCGGTCCGCGAGCGCCGGCGCACCCGCCACGGGCGTCAGCGCCAGCGCCAGCAGGAAGCTCCGCCGCGAGGCGCCCGCGGCCGGGAGACCGCAGCGCGGGGGCGACGCCACCGCCCGTGCGGCGGCACGCGGGAGGGACGGCGTGAGGAAGGAGGGGGTGGGAGCCATGGTTTCGGGGAGCCTGCGGTCCGGGATCTCGGAAGCG